ATATGTTGATTATTGCACAATATGTTATATTGTTAATTAGAAATTGTATTTCTATAATTTGCGAAAATTGGACATTGACTCTATTCACCCCCCTCTAGAGTCAATTCTTGAGTAACAGATATAAATATTATAAAATGAAAAAAAAGATCTTACTACATAAAGTTTTTTTTATGTAGTAAAAAAAACTTTTTTTTATGTAGTAAAAAAAACTTTTTTTTTACTACCAAAATGTGCAGTTCTTGAGTAATTATATTGTTAATTAGAGTCAATGTAGTAAAGAAAGTTTTTTTTACTACATAAAAAAAAATGTGCGAAAATTGGACATTGACTCTACATAAACTTGAGTGGATCGTTTATCAATTTCAAGACATAAATACTAAATGTCAATTCTTGAGTAATTTTTAGGTATTCCAGTTTTCAAATTTTTTATAAAAAAAATCTCAAAATTTTTATAAAAACCAAAATACTCCAAAATCCTTTTCTTATTTATAAAAATTCCAATTTATTTTTATAAAAATCCCAAAATTTTGAAATTGGTATTTTTTATTATTATTTTGGCTTAGAGCATTTTAGATATAATGGTTTCATGTGGTACAAATATTTATATGTTAGAAGATATAAATATTATAAAATGAAAAAAAAGATCTTACTACATAAAAAAAATGTGCATAAAAAAACCCTTATTATTTAGTATGTAGATAAAAATCCCTAACATTTAGCAAATTACTTCCTCATTGCCCGTGGCCATGACCATTTTTTATTTTTATTTATAAAATCTCTAAAATACCCTTATAAAATAGAAAGATAAAAAATTAGGCATTTAGTATTTATGTCTTGAAATTGATAAACGATCCTTATTTGATCTGTTTTGTAGTGCCGTGTTATCTTTTCTACCGCTTTCGAATGACTAAAGAACAAAGTAAGTGGGTGTAAGAACAAAGTGGGTGGGTGTACGTGATGTCTGTGATTTAACAAAAAAAAAAAAAAAAAATTGCATTTTTGCTCAACACAATTCGAGGGAGGGAGGGAGAGGGAGGGAGGAGAGAGAGAAGTTATTGTCTTTTCATTTTTGCTCAACACATTTCGAGAGAGGGAGAGAGGATTCTCTTTTCATTTATGTTCCACACATTCCGAGAGAGAACATGGAAGGGACGAATGGATGATTGGGGTTTTGGTCATCTCTGCAACACACAGATAGAGATAGTTTGAGAAAGGGAGTGGAGGTCTAGGGTTTCACTTCTCCATTTTCGTTGCTCTTCAACACAATCGGAGAGAGATAATTAAAGAAAGAGAAATTAATTGATGGTAAGAAAGACAAATTACTTTCTTTCTTATATTCTTCAGTGCCTAGGTGATTTATTTGCTAGAGATCGGTGTTATTGTGTACCCTGCTTTCTCTATTTAATCAAAATTCGATTTACCTACCAAAAGAATCTATATATATTCACCACTTCAGGTGTATGTGTTATGCTTTTGGGTTCTATTTTTTCTATAGATTTTGAATGTATTTTAACATTGCATTATATGTATTATTATCAGTTTTCTAATTTACTAAGTGTTTCCACATACAAAATTCTCGCACACTAGGTGTTTGTGAAAAGTACTAAGTGGGTCTATTTTCATACAAAGGCCAGTCACATGTAACTTCTATCTTTAGTCAGTGAGGGACAGCAAATATTGAAAGCAATTGTAACTTTCTGAAGGAAAACATGCTGATCAATCATTAATGTAAATGTGCATTACATATCCTAGAGCCTTCTAAAAGCAATTGTAAATGAATTATTGTTCAGTGTAAATGCTGTTTCTGTCCACATATATATCAGAATTATGGTGGAAGGAAATTTATTGGACTTGGGATCACACATTTGAAATCTTTAAAAGGAAACCATTCTAAAAGTTTCAGCTTCACCAGTAAATTCAATACGAAAATAATTGGCTTGTTGTTTCAGAACTCTTCTGAAATGAAGAGTTTGCTATCTGTATGTATATAAATTTTTGTTGTCTTTGAGCTCCCTGTGTTCTCCTTTCAATCAAAATTCCCATAGCCACAATTCTTTTGAACTGTATATTGTTTTTTTTTTTTTTTTGCTCGAGTAGTACAAAATTCTCAGGAATTTCATAAGCTAGTTATTATTTTAATTTTCATTCTAAAAGTTTCAGCTTCACCAGTAAATTCAATACGAAAATAATTGGCTTATTGTTTCAGAACTCTTCTGAAATGAAGAGTTTGCTATCTGTATGTGTATAAATTTTTGTTGTCTTTGAGCTCCCTGTGTTCTCCTTTCAATCAAAATTCCCATAGCCACAATTCTTTTGAACTGTATATTGATTTTTTTTTTTTTTTTTTTGCTCGAGTAGTACAAAATTCTCAGGAATTTCATAAGCTAGTTATTATTTTAATTTTCATTGTGGTCTTAATAATGCCCACTCATTTCGTCTGACCTTGTTAACTTTCAAAAGCTGAGTTGCATTGATCAAAGCCTTTGGTGATTCTCATTTCATTTATTAAGCATCTCATCTACTTTTGCATTACAGAACCATGACTTCAATCCTGAATCATGAGGGATCTTCAAAGAAAGTGCAAAAACTCTCAAGAAGGTAGATAGGATCAGTGGCTTGCCAGAATCGCTTCTTGTTCACATTCTCTCTTTCCTTCCAACAAAATACTCAGTTAGAACTGGCATACTATCATCAACATGGAAGCACCTCTGATCTTTTGTTCCCACTTTAGACTTCGATGTCAACTTGCCATATGATGAACCTTATTCAGATGTGAACTTTGTTGAACGAGTACTTTTGAATCATGAATTGTCTTGTATTCAGAAGTTCCGTTTGAACTGTAAAAAAGAAAGTTATTTATTAAGAATATATGCATGGATAAGTGTAGCCATAAAATGTGGTGTTCAAGAACTTGAAATTTTTATTGACCAAAGGGAATGGGATTTTAACTGTCCTATAAGCCTCTTTACTTGCCCAACATTGGTAGTCTTAAAACTGGGATATGGACTAACTATATGTACTGTTCCTCGCTAAAGTCTCAAGGTACTCCATGTTTCATTTACTTTTCCGGATAACGATTTGACTCAAAATCTTTTCTCTAATTGCCCTGTTCTTGATGATCTGTCAATTCAAGGAATTGCTTACAGTTGTGATGAACTAAATTTCGATCTCTCAACACGGGCGCCTCTGAAGAGTTGTATGTTAGCTCTGACAACTTATTTTGAGGATATAATTAGTCCATATAATGAGACTAAAATTGTTATCAATTCACCGAGTCTTGAGTATCTTACTCTCCAAGAAGGTTACTTGCCTTGCTATGTACTAGGGAAGCTAAACTTGTTGGTTGACGCCGAATGTTGGATGGTGCTGTATAAACACCAACTCAACCAAACAACATGCTGATCGTGTACTTGCGATTCTCAGGGAAATTCGTAGTGTCAAATATCTTTCTTTAGGCCCAAGTACCATGAGGGTAAGCTTGCACTTCTTTTCTACATAGTAGTGAGTGTTGGAACTCTTGATACTTTTAATTAAGTTTGTTATTGTTGTTATATGGCACTAATCATGACTTGTGTTCACGTCTTATTAAGGCTCTTGACTATGCTGATGACAATGAACTGCTTTTATTCACTAATTTGATTTGGTTGGAGCTGTGTGTTAACGGTTGTTATGGCTGGAAACGTCTACTACACTTGCTCAATAGCATGCCTATATTGGAATATCTTAATTTGAAGAAGCTGACTAATCATACAATGAACAATTTGAAGTATGTGTAGTTTTTTATTCTCTATTTCTGAACTTTATTATTTCTGCCTAGTTGTATGTTGATGCATCTTCGAAAAATTGAAATTACTGAATTTCAGGGGTTGAGTATTGCATAAGATGGCAATTAATACTTGTTATTTAGAAGGAAAACAAGAGAGTGATATTTTCTCAAGAAACTGCTAAAGTTTCCTAGAGGTTCAGTGAACTGTGAAATCAAGTTTGGTCTATCAATAGTTGTATCTGTTCTTTCTGTATTGAAAGACTGAAGTTGTTTTTTGATATATTTATTCATGATGGGACAGGTCCTGATTTATCTTTTAAATACATATTTTTATCCTCTATACTCTTTTATATGTTTGTGTTTAATTAGAACAGGAATTTGTGTTTCATGAGAACTCTCTTATATCTTTTAAAATAAAATAAAATAAAATAAAATAATAGTAGTAGACAATTTAAAAATGCATTATAAAAAATTAAATTGATATATATGGAAAACTTTATGTATTCTTAATATTTGTACTACCGGTCCACTTTTGTCCTAATTTGTTTGGGTTTCAACTCCTAACCCGTCCTTTTCTCATTCTACCTGTAGTCAATGTCGAGAAAGATGTTTGTCCAGCTTGATTCATTTTTTGAAAATAAAAAAATAAATATTTTTATATAAATATAAAAAAACACTAAAAAAACAGCTTGTTTCCTTTCCAACAGTTTCTTTCTTTCCAACTTTTTTTTTTTCCCAAAAACTGTCACCAAACGTATATAAAAAATTGAACCCTGACGATTAAGGGTTTCTGTCATCTCTTCAACACGCGTGGAAGTGGAATACCAAGGTTTCAGCTCTCCATTATATTGCGGACAGAGAAAGAAAGAATTGGGTGATTCCCTCCCTTATTATTATTATTATTTTTTGTTAGAAGTTATTGTGTATCCTATTTTCTCTATTTAATCAAAATTAAATTTATCTACCAAAAAATTAAATTTATATCCATACACAACTTGAGTGGTATGTATTATGCTTTTATGTTTGCATAAAGTAATTCTTTTCCCTATAGATTTTGAATATATTTTGAGAGATTGTACAGTTTCTTCCTCTAATACACTCGACCTTTACCTTACAAGCAACTCTCAAAAGTTGAGGAGGTACAGTGACTACAACCTTTAATTTGGTAATTCTCCTTATTATTATTATTATTATTTTTATTTTTATTTTTAATCTATTTTCTCATTACAGAACCATGGCTTTAATCTCAAACCATGAGGGATCTTCAAAGAAAGTGCGAAAAATTCTCAACAATGAGGATAGGATCAGCATATTGTCAGACTCACTTCTTGTTCACGTTCTCTCTTTCCTACCGACAAAATACGCAGTCGGAACCAGCATACTGTCATCAAGATGGAAGCACCTCTGGGCTTCTGTTCCCACTCTGGACTTCAATGACAACTTGAGATTTAAAGATATACCTTATTCGTATGAGAATTCTTCCAACTTCATGAACTTTGTTGATCGGGTACTTCTTCATCATGATTTGTCCTATGTTCAGAAGTTCCGTTTGAGTTGCGAAGGAAGTAAGGTTGATGTCTCCAGGATGTATACATGGATAAGTGTAGCCGTAACACGTGGTGTTCAAGAACTTGATTTACAGATAGGGCCACCCGGTTTTGACCTACCGGAACGACTATATAGCTTCCCTTTAAGCCTCTTCACTTGTCCAACATTGGTAGTCTTAAAACTGGGAATTCTAGTACGGTTCAGTGTTCCTTGCTCAGTCCATTTTAAAAGTCTCAAGGTCCTCCATCTTTCAGTCTGGTTAATGGGCAATGACTTAATGAAAAATCTTTTTTGTAATTGCCCTGTTCTTGAGGAACTGTTCATCCAAGCAATGGTTTCCTGTGAAGAAGAAGCTGCATTAGGAGTCATATTAGATGTCTCAACATCATCCCTGACGAGTTTTAAGTTAGATTTGACGGGATATGATTATTTGATGCGAAAAACTTTTGACGATGATTACGAGGATGATGGGGAAAAAATTGTGCTCAATGCACCAATTCTCGAGTCTCAAAGATGATTACTTGTCTTACTATGTTCTAAACAACCTAACCTCATTGGTTAAAGCGGATGTTAACATTGGAGAGTGCTGTATACAAACTATGGAAATTGAAGAGCGTTCTGATTCGGTATTTGAGGTTCTCAAACAAATTTCTAGTGTCAAATATCTATCTTTAGGCGCTAGTACCATGGGGGTAATCAAGCTTGAACTTCTTTACTTGATCATACTATTAATCTCGAATCTCTTATTCTTTATTAATGTTGACTATAATGTTCTTATCTCATGAAGGTTCTCGACTACGCTAAGGAATATAATGTGCCACGGTTCCCAAATTTGATTCGTCTGGAGCTGCATGTTAATACATGCTATGGCTGGAAACGTCTTCTAGACTTGCTCAATAGCATGCCTAACCTACTATATCTTGTTTTAGAGAAATCAAAGGTAACTAAACATATAAGGTATATGTCAAGTATATATATATATATATATATATATATATGTATGTATGAAGTTTTGATTCACAATTTCTGAACTTTTGATTCTGTCTCCAGAATTGTAGCTCTAGACGTCACGTCAGTTTTGTTGAACAAGAAGTGGTGCCTTCTTGTCTGGTGATGCATCTTCAAGAAATTAAAATTAATGGATTTCAGGGGCTGAGTGATGAGCTGAAGCTGATTGAGTATTTTTTGAGAAATTCCAAAGTACTGCGTAAGATGGAAATTAATAATTTCAATGCAGAAGAAAAGCAAGAGCGAGAGTTTCTCGACAAACTGCTAATGTTTCCGAGGGGTTCAATGACCTGCAAAATATTAATCACCGGGAGGAAAATTTTGCTCCAGCCTAGACATCTATACCACCACTCATGGTGGAGCTCACACACTCGGACATGAGAGTGCTATTGCATACTATGGCATCGGAATAAGAAGATTTATTTATTTTTTGTTAATGTTATATTTGGGAGTACCGAATCCAAATCTAAAGTGTCAAACATAGCACAAACATTTTTTTTTCCGAACCTTTAACCTTCCTTTGAGAAGTAGGAGTCTCATACGGTTAGGCCACTGGCCTGGTCTTAAACATATTCCTAATGAGACAGTTATTAATTATAATTTCATAAATGTGGTCCATGTTTGTATGTTTGTGACATTGTGGGGGTGGGGTGGGGTGTTTGAATTGCTTACTTGCAGAGACTTAATTTATTAACGAGGAATATATGTAATTATATAATCACTTAATTTATTCATTATTAACTACTTGATTGAATTATCAATCGAGATCGATATTTATTTGGTTCTTTAGTTCCAATTATGAGTAAATATTTAGTTTTAGTTCCAAAACATGGGTGGGTGAGAATTTATTTATTGATTGATTTTAATTTAACAAGAAGCTCAAATATTCACATTGCTCATAGACGTCCCTCGTCGAGAGATTGTTAATAATTATATGTGTGGACGTCTTTTATGGTGTTTTGAAAAACACGAATAGGGGGATTGCGGAAAGCAAGAGTCTGAAAGAGTAATGACATATGGTATTAAATAAATAGATATTTTTCTTCCATTTGAACTTATTTCAATATTTTTTTTTAGTTGCTGCTAAGAATCCAAATCCAATTTTTTTCTGAGTTGTTATATTTATTTCCCTTTAATTCTATTTGAACAGGGGAGGATCTAGGGAAAGGTTTCATCAGGTTAGGCCCGGAAGGACCCAGGAGAGATTTCATATCTCCCTTGGGAGATGTGGCTTCTAACTAGGGGTGCGCATTCGGTATGGTTCTTGCGGAATTAGAACCAAAAAATTCTTAAAAATTAAAGCTGGAATCAAAACCATTGGGACATAGAACCGAATCCCATTCGGTTCCGGTTCTGTTTTTATTTATTATTTATTTAATTATTTTTAGTAATACATTGGGCCACAAAAAGCATCAATAGGCATATATATATGTATATTTTTGGTAAATATAGACATATATATATATATATATATATATATATATATATATATTCGGTAAGTATATACATATAGTAATTATATAATTAAAAAATAATATAGATAACCATTAGTACAATTTCGATTCCTAACGGTTTCAAACTTTAGAGCCGGAACTTAATTTGTAATGTTACCGATTTTCCTATTATCTATTTTATGGGATTTTTCGATTTTTTCAAGGATATTTTTGTCTTTTCTCATTTTGCGTATCGGACACCGTAGGGTGTGCCGGGTGTATCCGAGAGTTGGGTGGGACATTTCTTTGAGATTAGGACTCTTGGAAATGCACCGGTTGCCACTTTTGATTTTTTTTTGTTTTTCGGGACGGACGGTCCCGGGTGGAACCCGCTACCGAAATTGCTGTGTACGGAAGTTGTGTCGTGGGTTCGTTACATTTCATGCATAATTAATTGGTGCATATTTATCTGGTTGTGTATTGTTTTATGTGATTGTGATTCAATTAGAATAAGCATGTGCATATATATTTAAAAAGGTGGGATTTTATATTTTAGTAATGGGCCCACTCCCCACTCACATTGAATATGTGGCCAAGAGGCCATTTAAGGCCTCAAAATTCTCTCTCCCGTAAGCACTCTCTCTCTCTCTCTCCTTTTCTTTCTCATTTTTTCTTTTTCTTTTTCTTTATTCAAACTTCAATCCTTGATTTCTCTCTCAATTTTAAGAGTTTGTTGGAATTGTTTACGGCAATCGGAGAGCTCATTGAGATCTACACTTTGATACAAGCAATTCACTATCTGGCCAACCCTTTTGATTTTAGAAATTTTGGGGCAAATTGGGGGTTTTCTTCCTCCTAGGGATGTTCTAATTCACAAGTTCTTTGGCTTTTGGTGAATTTTCCCTTTTTAATTTGATTGTAAGCATGCTTAATTTGATTATTTTGCCTATGACTTTGAGGGTCTGTATATGACTCTGCTTTATGTGACTAGGTGGTTAAAAATACATGATACTTGGAATAATATGATGTAGTATGCTAAGCTGAAATCAATGTTTGCATTGTATGTGTATGGAGAATGGTAAAATTTTAAGTTTTGCCAAGTCATAAGATATACCTACTATGTTGGATGTGTAGGAATTGTTATGTGGGAGTATGATGTGCTTTACTTCTAGAATTTCTATAGGGGCATGCATAGAATTTGCGTGGTTGAATGGTTTGAATTAAAAATTGTAGTTGTTGTTGTTGTTGCTATATTTTCCCCCTATGGCATGATCCTTTACCTCCTTATTCTATGTTTTGTTTGAATTCACGGGGTCATCAAGAGGTGTGTCTTAAACACCTCCTACTAAGCCGTTATACTCACCCATTCTTTATCAGTTCAGGGTTTTAGAAGCGGAGGAGTGGACAAGATGCCTTCATATGCTTATACTGTTGGGAAATGTGCAAGTTTTAAAAACTTTTTGAGGGATTTTCATAAATTGATTTTGATTCATCACATAGAGACAAGTTTTGTACAAAAATAAAATATGATGTATCATTCAATTAATAGATTGAATACTTACATCAAGATTTAAGTAAACCTTAGATCTCTCCTCTGAAGTAATGTTCTCACTTATTGCAGATCCCTTTGCTAGATGCCTTCTTCTTGAATCTCCATCTTCTTGGTAATGGTTTTGCCTTTAGGAATCACCCATAAGCCTCAATAAATGACCTTGAAAAACTAGACTTGTGAGAGTCTCCATTAGATGAAAACATTAATCCTAAAATTTTAAAGAGAGAAAATATTATTTTTCTTCCAAAAGTCACACATAAAATATACATGGATCATGTATATATAAGTAATATAAAGATAAAGAAATGAAACAATAAATCCTTCTCAATCTCTAATTACCATACCTTAAATCTAATAGGACTCTAATATCAAGTTGGGCTATGAGTGAGAATCATTTGGGCTTATTATTTTCTTGGATACAATGAATTAATAATTGGCCCAATCCATGGACCCAATTCAATTAATTCATAAATTAATTTCTACTTTACTAAAAGAAATTAATTGTGCTCTAATTAAATAATAAATAACATTTAAGTCAATGTTGCACTTTGACCCCTCTATGCATAATTAGTTATCAGATAAATAAAGCCATCAATCCGACTACTTAATTAATATATTTATTTTGGTACCTTTAATTATTTCCGGCTTGATCACAATAAAACATTTGTTTGACAAAATTAATAATTTAAATAAATAAATATATAATAAATCATTTTTGTCTAAAAACACACGAAGGCCTTCGAATTTACTTTGTAATCAACCATAATCAATATAAAATAAATACAAGTAGCAATGATAAAAATATTAAAAATATAACCCTCTAACTATTAATTACATAATTACCCAAAGTGCCGGTCTAAGGATTACGAAGATTCTGCCGAACAAATCAAAGTAATTACTAATTAATAAAAGAGTCTATACTTCTCTCATGCTTAAGAGTCAAATGTCATGACAATGATAGGGAGCAATTGCATATGACGACTCTTGCAATATGCCTCAACCTAATACGGATCCAGTTCAAGTCTTAGTTAATAATGAGTCCATTCATAATTACCGACTATGAACTATTTATAATTATTATTTATATTCATGTATTGATCGTCATCACATACATATATAAATACCTTTTGTAATCAAGTGGACACTATCAATTCCATAATGAATCAAAACATAATACATTGAATTCACCAATTGTATAAAGCATAAATATTTCAGATATGTTAGGAACATATGTCACTTTAATCCAAATAAGAATTTGCTATGCTAAGGCATATAAATCCCAACAGCTCCCACTTGCCCTCATAGCCAATTCAAATTACATCTAACTCCAATGTTATTCAGGTGATGAACAAAACTATTGATCATAACACATTTGGTAATGAATCAACAAAGTTGTGTTCCAACGCAATATTCTAGCCACAAGTACATTTTCTTGCCGGACAATATCATGTAGGACATGATACTTTCCTCTTAGTGTACCTTGTTCCTCTATGGAACCTTGGATCATTGGTTTGGACTACTTCTACACTATTGTCGCAATATAGTTCGATAGGTAGGCTAGTATGCTCCACAACCTCTAATTCAGTGAGATCAAACCAAAAGGCTTCCTTTATTGCCTTTAACGCTGCAATGTACTCCACCTTCAGATTTGAGTAAGCAGTTAAAATTTGCTTAACACTCTACCAACTAATTTCCCTTCCATTGAGTGAACATACATCAAGTCATGAACCTCATAGTATCTACATTTGTTTTAAAATCAGAATCAGTATACCTGACTAGGACCATATCATCACATCCATAAATGAGTATGAGATCATTGGTTCTCCTAAGATACTTTATGATATTTTTCACAACATAGCAGTTATCAAGTTTGGGATTGGACTAATATCCACTGACTATCCCTACAATGTAGCGGATGTCTTGTGTGATATAAACCATGGCATATATGAGACTCCCATATGCCGAAGCATATTATTTCAGTTTCATTTGCTCAATCTCCTCTGCTAGTCTTGGAAAACTACTTACTAGATAGAGCAATCCATGTCAATAAAGTACGAACTCATTCTTTGAGTTTTGCATACCAAACCTGGTCAAAACTTTATCAATGTAGGATTGTTAAATAAGCCTATTTTCCTGTTAACCTGATCTTGAAAAAGCTTGATCCTAGGAATATAACTTATATCTTGAAGATCCTTTATTTCATAGTAATTGAACAACTACCTCTTTACTGATGACAAAACTTTCCACATCATTATAAATGAGTAGGATGTCATCAATAATGACATTATCCTGCACACACATGGTTCAGTCACTAAGAAATCTTCTGGTATCCTTTTGTAGATTAACTTGCCTTCCATAGGTATAACCTTACTAGAAAAGTTCTACAAAATCCCATATTTTATTAGAATACATAGATTCCAACTTTGATTTCATAGTAACTTGCCAAAACGATCTGTATCCATATTGGTTCACGCCTCCGTGTAGCTTACTGGGTCCAACTCATGTTTAACAGGGATGTCCATAAAGGTCTCACCTAAAAATATGATTCTGTCAGATTGGATGATAATCCTCCTACTAAAACAATGTACCGATGCAAGAATCTGTGTCCTAGACGATGCTGACGCATCAATAGGAAATTCATATAT